TAGGGTTTAGGGTTTAGGGGCGACCCTGTCAGTTCTGCCGAAGCTTATGATTTCCATACAGTTTTGTTATCCTATAACATTGCGACTACTGTATAATTAGTACATGTCATAGTGTGTAGTATATGTAGTAGTACAATATTACAAGCATGAACCACCGCAAACACTGCCAACTCGGTAGCTGAGGAAAGCCAGCCAGGGCACATGGCTTTCTTCTGCTCCAGAAAGGAATCAATTGCCTGAAGCACCGTCGCGACAGGAGTATGCTCTACTCGACAGGTAGAATCGGAAGCTGCCAGTCATTGACACAGCTAATAGACAGGGACGTAGTGTGTGCTTCGTCAAGTTGCTGGTAGCTCCAGGTGGCCGAGAACTGCATGAACTCTCTCGACGCACCTCCGGCAGACGACAGGCGTTCCAGATGCTATGCTCCGTGTACTACGAATTGCGACGCTGCTTACTAGCATCGGCTGCACTTACGTAGAGTGGCCAGTCGGCCTTGAGGAAAAACACTGTCAGTCGAGCCAGGTGAAACAATGGCCTGGATGCTTCATGGATCTCTGTGCGAATCACGTGGAGCTCCATTTGCCAGAATTCGAAGACAGCACTGTCGGGGAAGCGCTCTGCCGCCCACTGCAGAAACACATTGGAAGCTGCGAAGTCATCTGCAGTTATGGCTTCGCCGAGGTATGTTTTCCTTAGCTTAGCATTTTCAGGCAGTTGAATGGGAGCTTGGAGCCGTCGTCGTCAACTCTCATCTCAAGCAAAGGCCGTTGCAACTGCACTTCAGCAAGTCTTGCTGGCTCTTCTGAGGAGAAGCCTCTCTCACGAGCATACCTCGGACATTCTGGCCCTTCTGAGGCCGGCAACCTGCACTGCCGAGCTTCATCCAGATGTTGTAGGCTAGAAGCACCAGCACCGCAAAGGGGGCCATGATGCCCTCTTGCACGTAACCTGAACACGGGTTGCGGCTACACCTCGTCTCCGACAGGCGAGTGCGCAGCGCTCCCAAACCCGAAACTACGCCGATCTTCTCTCGTGATGCTCTTCAACGGATGCCGCTCGGCTCACTCAAACTCGCTTCAGCTGCTTCGGTCTTGAAGCCAGCGCTCTGGAACAGTTCCTTCTAGGGTTTCCTCTGCCTGCAAACTCTCAACCATGGCCTCACCTAAACTCGGCATGTGCCTACCAGCGCCCGCCCAACCTGAATCAAACGCCCGCTACGACCGCAACGATGCCTCTGACACCCGGGCGAAACTTGGCTTTCGTCTGCTGCTCGGGAAGAAGCTTCTGAAAACACTACTTGACAAATGGCCGAATGCTCACCATGCAAGGCGAGACGCCTGAACCCTTCACCCCCAACACCCTAAACCCTTTTTTGATCCACCCTAAACCCTGTTGCGTCCGGTCTGCAGCGACTCTACCGGGAAAGACTTGGAACAACCGATACCGACCTTTAGGCGATGAGGCGAACCACCCTTTTTACACAGGCTTGATTGGAGCTCGCCCGGCCAATGTCCCCCGTAGCACATCGCACTCGTGGCGAGACGCCCAAAGCTAAGTACGCACAATCCTCATGATTTTACGAGCTAATCTGGGGCGAACCACCCTAAACCCTAAACCCTAACCCCCAAACCCTAAACCCCTAAACCCTACACCCTAAACCTTTTTTTCAGCAGGCTTGTTGGTTCTCGCCTGAACCTTAAACCCCTTTTTCAGCACGGACTGAGGTGCCCCCCTAAACCCTAAACCCTAAACCCCAAAACCCTAAAACCCCAAGACCCTCCACAACGCCCGGTGGCAATCGTGGAGCAGCTGAAGGGCATCAGCGCGGCTGCCCTGCAGCGTGCGGCCGCCAGCCTGCAAAGCGGCGACACTGGGCTGCCCCCCTCGGTGAAGCACCCCATCCATAAATAAATAGGTGTATCTAGACATATATATATATATATGGATACTTGTTTATTCATTTTGCATAAACAAGCAAATAAACAATTATCATAATAATAGCCACAATAACAATAATCCAATAAGAATAACAACGAATATATATATATATATATATATTACATATATATATGTTACATATATATATATATATAAATGTGTTATATATATATATATGTAACATATATATATGTAATATATATATATATGTGTTTGTATATCTATCTGAGTACTATATGCATATATACATCCTTGTCATGTATCAGTTATGTAGTTTTGAGGTGGGGCTGAGGTCGGGCTCTGTGAGAGTTCCATGAACTCCTGGGGAACAACTCAAACCTTCTCCGATCCCCTATCCCATGCTTGCGGCCATACCTTCGATGCTACTCGGAGCATCTGGGGCGGCAGCATGGAAAGCACCTGGGTGGCCGAAGGTATCACGACCTCATGCCTCACGGCCTCAAACAGAGACTGCAGACTAACCCCGCTTCAATTCAAAGGCTCCCCGATTGCACAGAAAAGTGTTGATCATGAGCTCTGCATGGCGGGGATGGATCTTCCTCGACTCCCTCTGAGTTTTTTCAAGGGACTAAGTTGAAAAGGCCCATGACGAAAGCAGCAAAACTTCGAACGAAGGTCGCTTCCGGACCATCGAAGCGCAGACCTCCAGAAGTGCAGGGCCCTTTTTGTTGTGCTTTCATTGGTATTTATCTACATGCAATATAGGGGCCTAAATAATTACCAATACTATTTTGGGGGTTCCTTATTGTAATTATAGTATAATGAGCCCCAAAACCCTATTCTAATTATTAAGGCCCCTATATTATATTCATTTTTATTTGCAAGTTCACATGTATGCCACCAACGGCATGTCAGAAGGTGCGAGCAGCATAGAGAGCACGGGGCCTTCTTCGAAGTCCCGGATGTACCGCAGTGATCGCACCAAGTTCACGCCGGACTTGAGCCATGCGTTCTTTGCAGCTTGTACCACTCCTGGAGCAAATTAGCAAAGCGCACTGCATATTATGTCACTAATGAATTAAAAGACTATTAGTGACATTTCTAATGCAACAGTAACAAGAATCGTAATGACTGATAATGAACGGTTTTATGTGACACGACTACTATAAGGCTTGTATGCATCAAAGGGGGCACTGGCCCAGCTCACACAGATCACTTTCTGACCGAGACCACGAGACACCTGCCCTCTTCTGCCTGTTCTGGGTAGTTCTCTAAATTAGGGTCCCTTTTTAGGTCCCCATTGTAGTACGGCACCCTTATAAAAGGGACCCCAAAAGGGACCCTCATTTAGAGAACTACCCTCTGGAGTCCTGCGATCAGGTAGACCATACCCAAAAGCATCTTCTGGCCGACCCAGGGCGAGTCCTGCCAGGCGGAAAAAGCGGGAAATCTTGCTATGGGGGATATTTCCCTGGATCATCATAGTAATTCCTAATATTCTAAACCCTAAACCCTAAACCCTAAACCCTACATTCTACTATACCCTAAACCCCAAACCCTAAGCTTTCGAGCTCAGGTCGCTGTTTGCGTTTTGCAATCACTGCAAATGACCAGCAGGCATGCATCTGGGGGTTTCCGAAAATAGGGGACCCTAATATAGTACATTATAGTACCCTAAATAGTAGGATCCTTATTATAAGGACCCCAAAATAAGGTACCCCTAATTTTCGGAAACTCCCATCTGGCACATCTTCGCAGTTGCGCAAATGTGAAGAGGGAGGAGGATACGATACCGACCTGCCGAGAGAGTCCTCCAAAAGCAAGCTCTCGGCTGTCCAGACGCGCGCCAAGCATTCATCCAGCTGGTCATTGGCAAAGGAAAGTAGGCCGAACCTGAGAAGCCGATAGCACACACGATTTGGTTGCTGATTTTTAGCGATCCGGCTTCATCAGGACCGCTACAACCGATCTCTGCGCAAAGTGTCGGAGAGGAGGCCGTATCTCGAAGAACGTGCAGAAGCTGATCCCCAAACCGCTGAACCCTCAGGTCTGCGGGAGCTAGGGGCTTGGAGTGCCTGACCCCTGCCTTACCAACCCAAGGTTTAGGAATTGGGTTTAGGGTTTCCGAAAACCCTAAACCCTGAACCCTGAATTGAAACAATCCCTCCAGGCCGAGTGGCATAAAGCTGACCATCGTGTAGATCAGAGCAAAGGCACCGCGAGTGTCGCGACCACCTTTGGGCCGCGGGCCTCGGCTGCGGGCGGGGCATCTGAGGCGAAGGGTTCGGGGTCTAAGCTTTGGGGGGTTTTATATAGGGACCTCAATAATTTTAAATAGGGTTTTGGGGCCCATTCTACTCTTATTATAATAAGGAACCCCCAAAAAACAGTAGAAGCAATTCTTAAGGCCCCTAAATTCGAGCTCTGGGTTTGGTTCAGTCTTCGACTCCCAAGCTGTGCTTTGGGCTCTCTGGCCTTCAGTTCCGTTGAGCAGATGATTTGGGAGTTTCCGAAAATAAGTTAAGGGGTACCTTATTTTGCGGTCCTTATAATAAGGATCCTATTATTTAGGGTGCTAGGGTCCCCTATTTTCGGAAACCCCCATTTGTCCACCAACACCCGACAAGGACTCACAACGACTGGTCTCGCGCAGCTGCGTGCAGTTGATTTTCCCAGCTTGCGCACCTGTGCCCCGCCCCGGAGCATGGGCAGACCCCACCTTGCCGGAAAGAACCATACCGCAGCAGAGTCGAAACGGCATGATGTACTCTGTAGAAGGAAGATGGACGGGAGTTTAGTGGCTTTCTAACCTAACCCAAGAAGTGCCAAGAACTGCCGCGGGATCCCTCGAAAGTGCTGCACAGGGGGAGCTTGCGCAGTCCACCCTGTGATTGAGCTTGTGAAACGGGTCCCTTCTGGGACCGACCCAATGAAGACAGGCACGCAGGCCACAACAAATGCATCCCGCCCAGAACGCCAGTAATACAGATAACTACCCCTTATATAGCCAGGTAGTCTCCATATTAACCCCAATAACCTACAAGGGTCCCTATTAAGGGTTCCTCCTAAAGCCCTTAGAGTAGAAGAGAGTGGGTTTCAGCATGAGTATCGGCTCAACTTCTGGAGAGTTGGCTGGCGTCCTTTAAGATGCCTTCACATTCTGTGGCCCTGGCTAGGTGCTGCTTCTGACTATCTGACTAGATCACAGGCTAGGCTTCACGCTAAGCTGCACGGTCTCAGCAGACAGCCTTCGCCAACATGTCCTCAATCTCTTTCAGCATGAACCGTCCATGCTCGCGTCGATTGATCGGCTGAGCTGAAGTGCAGGACACATTTGTTCGCTGCTCGCCGTTGTAGTTGTCCGGCTTCGCACGCAGCTGCACCTGCACGATCCGAGCATAGTAGCAACTCTTCATCTTGGCCTCCACAGCCTCGCGCCCCTGGTTCTTCTCGATGTCAGCAACCTCCTGTGCGGTCATTCCAAGAACCTTCTCGGCCGCCTGGTGGAAAGTCGTGACCCAGAAGTTACCAGTTGCATCTTCGAATCGGCAGCGCAAATTGAGACGGGGTGCAGCCTTGACAACCTTGTTGCAAACAGCGCAGAAACCACTCTCGTCGACACGCCGATTGCACGGCAGGCCGTTGCCTTCCTTTGGCTCCAAGCAGGCATTGTAGTAGAGCGGCTGGATGTCGTCCCTCTTGCGAAGCTGGACTGAGGCAAGCCGGCAGTAGGCAGAGTACATCTCCTGCTCGTTTAGAAGCTGCTCGGACTTCTGCTTCATCTCCAGCACATCCATGAGCTTGCCAGCGATTCGAGCTCCGGCACCGCCAGTTGTCTGGGAGATGAAGGTCAGGTCCTGCGCATGGCCACCCTGTGTCCACCAGGCTCGTACCTTCTGCGCTTCGGGCATCTCAGGGTTGAAGGCCAGTGAGCCGCTCTCCATCAAGGACCCGCTCAAGCCTCCTTGCCATTCCTTCACCGATACTCCCTTCATGACGACGACGGGATGGCCCTGAAACTCCGAGTCATCCTTTTTGGCACGATCGCCCCATATGGTGACTTGCATGCTGATGCCGCTGTCGTCTGCCAGGGTCAAAGTTCTTTTAACAAGATCTTTCCCGTCCTTGGAGGTAAAGGCAAAGGCTTTGTCGAAGGCCGTGACGATGCCACAAACGTCCACGCTGCATGGCAATGCCTTGCCCTGCACGGAGCGCAGTTCCACCACGGTAAACTTGACGGCGTCAATCCTTCCATCATCTGCAACTTCATCAACCTGGGATGCTTTGTCGAAGACCAACTCATAGCGATGCTTGCAGGCATTGAACTGCCTGTTCGCGAGCTTGACCTGCCCCCTGCTGAGAGTGAAGCACTTGCCAACCTCCATCAATTCAAAGTGCTTCTCCGCCGCATCGTTGAAGAAGCTTGCACGGATCTCTCCGCCCTCTGCATCAAGCAGCTCCACATGAAAGACCTTGCCCTGGCCACTTCCGTTTCTCTGCTTGAACGTTCTCAGCGGTGCTTTGCTGGTCACACGGCCCTTGATTGTCCACTTCGTCTGATAGGTGGACAGCTCACGGATAGGGAAAAACTCGTAGCCGGTCATCTTTTTCACGGCGCGGCTTCGCTACGACGATGACTACCTTCTCCCTTGTATCTGCTTTGAAGCCGCCGAAATGGCCATGGAGATGCCAAGTCCATACACAAGTCCACACAATGACATCGGGGCCGTAATGATTAGAATATGGTTCGGGAGAAGATGATATTACTTAGTCGCAATAAGGAACCCCAAAGCAGTATGTTGATACTTATTTAGGCCCCTTCTCAACCGTAAGCCCTAAACCCTAAACCCCCTCTAAACCCTAAACCCTCAACCCCTATATCACAGCATTGGCTCTGCAGTATCAGCCAGGATGCACTCGGCGCCTTGCCGAAAAATCTTCTCGGCTCCTTTAAAGTCCTGAGACGGGCTTTTGAATAGGCTTTAGGGCAACTTCAGGATTTAGGGTTGAGTTTAGGGTTTAGGGTTTTGAATAGGCTTAAGGGTTTTTTCCCTCTCACATTGCAGAGAACTATGCTCACAGCGAGGTCTGCTCTGGAAATTGACTAGCACTTCAATTGGGTTTAGGGTTTTGAAACTCACACTCGGGCACAGCCAGGCAAGGCCTGCAAACGACTCTGAGTCAACAGCACAACTACGATCTACAATCTACCGGGCATGTGTCACCCAGTGCGACACTTGACAGGGTCTTGAGTTTTGGGAAGCAAGGATGAACGACATGGCAAGCCAATCCTTTCACCACTCGCAGGACTGCAAAAGATCTGGAAGTGCAGACCCGAGCGTCATTCGTAAAAAGATGTCGAATACCGTCCTGCAGAATCAGGCAGCTGATCTTTCTCCCTGTCTCATACGCCTCTTATCTTCACTTCTCGCCCGGTCACAAGCCTCTCTCAATATTTAATCTGGTCTCCATGCTTGTTGAATTGCGTCATGTTGAGCGTAAGCTGTGCCTTCCTGTCTCCCTCCCGTCTGTGCCATCCCCACCCCTCTCCCAGAGGCGTTTGTTATCACGGGGGCGTTGGAGCTGGTGACGAAGTCCCGGGCGGATGTCCACTACGCACAAGCGGGAGCCGCACAAGCGAGGGGTTCCACGTGTCCAGTGAGCAAGCCCCTTCACTCTGAATCTAAGCACCCGATGGCCCGATGGCGGTACAGTACCGCACTGTTCGGCGAAAAACCGGCATGAGGCAACGTCCGTCACAACACTAATGCAGAGCAGTAACAGTAGTATCGTAAGACAAGTTATCAGTTATCATGATGCTGATGTTGATGATAACAAGTGATCCCCCAACATCGATAGAGCGCCATGACGACCACTACGTAGTCACTGCGACCAGGACGGCTGCGACGGCCCGGACAACAACGACCTCCACGACCAGGAGACCACCAGAAGACCCACGAGGAGACCACCGGGATCACAGCGCAAGAGCACCGCCAAAGGGTTTAGGGTTTAGGGCTTACAGAAGTAGTAGTAGTAGTAGTAGTAGTAGACTAACATGTTACGATAGAACCCCATACTGCCATACTGAGTATGAGTACCACACTCCTTGTGGAAGCAGACTTAACAGCAACAAGAAAGATAACAGTAACAAAAACAATAAACAGATGAATAACAACAGCATAAGAATACGAAAAATGAGAACAAAATTAGTAATAATGAGAAAAGTGACAGAATAACAACAGCAACAGCCGCAACAACAACAACAACAACCACCAACAACAACCAGCAATGAACGACTAACAACCAACAACCCCAGACAACACCAAACAACAGCAACCAACAACCAACAACACACAGCAGCAAACGATAGCAGCAAACAAAAGCAACCAACAACCAGCAACCAACACCGACAAAAGACGACAAACACAGCGGCAAGAACATAGCAACAACAAACAACAGCAAACAACTGCAACAACAACCAACAACAAACAGCGGCAAACAACAGCAACCAACAACCAACAACCAACAACCACAGCAACAACAACTACAACAACAACAACAACAACGACAGCAAAGAACAGCAGCAACAACGACAAATTAAAAACGAAGCAACAATAATACAGATAAAACCAATAATAACAATGCGACTAACGATAGTAAAAGTGAGGATACTAGAAATAAGAACAATGAGAAGAAAAATAACAGTAAGAAGAACATGAATATTTATGAGCTATACATAAAAATGACTAAGGTCGATAGTGATGATTATGATGATGGATGTCGACAATACCAAAATAAGGAGCAACCTCATAATGGTATAATGACAATAGGAATAATACGAATAGCAATAATAATAACTTAATAATCGTAGTAATCATAATAACCAGGATAAGGATATAGACACTGTACCAGAGAGGTAACAATACTTACAACAGTAGCGTCCTCCGTGACAATAACAATGAGAATAATAACTCAGCAAAACGATTATAAACTATAACAAACCACATACATCAATACCCCCATCAGGAACGACAATACTGTAGCAATGCAGCAATGACACTAGAAATACCAATAAAAACAAAAACAAAACAGGAACAGCAGCAAGGACAGTAGTAGTCTAAGTCGTGTCGTCGAAGTCGAAGTGGCCGAGCAAAAAAATAAAAAACACTGATAAACGTAAATACACTACTGTAACCGCGCGGCGCTAGAAGTAGCGGCGTAGCAATGGTTAAAGCAAACCGGTAACTCCTGCAGATTCCGCATGTCTTCCTGGAGCTTGTCATACTCCGGGCCATCCTGGCCACAAGGAGTTTCATTTTTGGAATTGAGTGGGGCGGGTGATGGAAAGCTAAAGGGCCTTTTGGCTGCCTCCGGCCTTGTTAAGACGAATACAAGACCGCAAGTCTGTCAAGGAAAATCATTTGAAGTGGACGTCGTGCCTACTATTGTTATCACTATGGCTATTACTACTAATATTACTGCTATTGTAAAGGTTGTATCATCACGCAGCACCTCTCCGAAAGCATGCAGATCTCCGCGCATGTTTCTTTCAGTCTCGCTTGCGCCGGTGCTACAACTGTTCTCTTGCCCTCGACGGCAGAGCGTGTGCACTCGCATGAGACCGGGGCGATCGGCGCTGGGCGCTGCAATCAACCTATGCTGCGAAGGCAGCATATCCTGTGACAAATTCACACCAGTGCTTTTCAAACAAAGGTGTGCGGTGGGGTTCGTGTAAATAGCACGGAGGCAACACTCGGCTTCGAGCTTACAGCAAACTATACAGCGATGGTGACTGTGACTATTTTGTTGCACATGCCTTCCAAAACCATTGGCACCCACCCGGAGGTAGTGACCGACCCAGCGAAATCTGTTTTACTGCGCATCTACCAAACGAAGCAGGCTTCTCATAAGCCAAACAGCAGTATCATCAATAAACACATCTGAAGTATCCAGAAATGGCTAACTAATGTCTGGAGCTGCGCTGACGCTGAGCCGGTACTGCAAGATCCAAGATTGGAAGCACCGTGCAATCCACAGCTGCTTCAGTCAAGATGAGCGGAAGATGGCTTGTCTGTGTTCAGGTGGCGGCAAACACACGATAGAACTGACCAAATTCTGACTTGTAGCTACGTCATGAGCACTGCATGGCCACATCGCCAACTCCGCAAGGCCGCGTGGCGTCGAATTGCCCACGGCTCCCGTGACATGGTCTCCAGTCTTCACTGTAGATGTCTGTCCGCTCGTATCCTCTGCACTGGGTACAGGACTGTACAGGATGGCTTGGAAGGGAATGCAGGATCCTCGACCGGCCCTTTAGGGCTTGCAAGCCGAGGATGCAGGTCGATTCCGATGATCACTTCTGCCCTCGAAGTGCTTGCCAGTCTTGTCGGTGGTGGACTCCAAGTGTGCCAGCTGCCTGATCCCACCAAAGCTGCAGTGGCACACCAGGCGCTAGGCCCCATGGGATGCTGATGACAATGATCTTGTCATCTGGTGTTTTGACCTGGGAGTTTCCGAAAATAAGGGGGCTACCTAATTTTGGGGTCCTTCTAATAAGGATCCTACTACTTAGGGTATTGTATTAGGGTCCCCTATTTGAGGAAACCCCCACCTGAAGCAAGTCGTCCGGTCCCAGCGAAGTGGGGATCGGAACGTGGAGCAGCTCCAGGCCATCATCGCCGCCTTCTGCAAGCGGAGCAGAAGCCGAGGCATTGTCAAAGGCTTCCGCGGCAAAGGACAGAGTGGAGCTCTGGATCTTGCTCCTTGCTTTGGCTGCCTTCGGCACCTGGGGAGTCCGCCCTAGCAGCAAGAACTTCCGCAGGGCCAGGGGCAGTGCATGGACGCCTGCGCCTGCCTGGATCACGCCCGCTTTCAGCCACTCCTCCAAGCAATGCCGACGCTCCTCGATCTCTCGAGCATTGGGACTGTGCCAAATCTTTCGCGGGAAGCTTCTAGTGGTGACGGAGATGGCAGGATCTTTCGCCAATGCCCGGAAGTGATTGTAGCGGCGCAGCACTTGCCATGGGGCACCACTGCTAGGAACAACGACCACTTCGAAATACACGACATTGTCGTAGACATGAACGCCTTCTGCTGGCAGCGAAATGCCCACGCCATACATATCAGGAGAAGGGCCACCACCGATCACAACAACCTCCTGGCGCCTGGGGCGCTGCGTGTCTTTTGGCACTGGTGCACGCGCCGCAGGCGCCACAGGACCCGGAAGGTATGCCATGCCTGCAGCTGCTGCATCCGGCGAGTCCCAAGGCAGGTTGTGATGTCGATGGTGCCGGTGATGGACAACTGGATGGTGATCGTGGTGACGGTGGTGATGGTGGTGGTGGTGCTGCTGGTGTTGGTGGTGACAGTTGTCTGCATGCGCATGATGTCGCGAATCGTTTGAGGCGTGCTTCGAGTGATGATTCACGAGGTTGGAGTTGTTTGCGCTGTGTGATCGGTGGTGGTGGTGCGTATTGTTGTGGTGCGGAGTGTGGTGGTGC